AAATATGTGCACTCAATTATCATTTGATACATTTATTAATAAAATCGTTACCTTATTGATTAAAAAGTACAAAAATGTGTCTGCTTATTGATAAAAAAATGTCTATTGGTGTCCGTTTATTAATACAATTGAAATTTATGTCATTTTTCATTTAATTTTTTAAAAAACTGCTTTCCAATTGATAATAATCCTTACTTTTTCCTATTAATTTGGGCAATCAAAAGCATTTAATTTTGTCAGCTATTTAGTTAAAATAAGAGAGTCTGAGTTTGTTTTGATTCAAAAAATTGAAGGCTTTGCAATTGTGGGGTTATTAGCCAAATGTTAAGAGCAATTTGGTGGTGGGGGATGGCTACAAATTGACTTTATTGAGTGATTAGAATCTAAACTATATTCCTATTGTCCCAATATCTAGATTTCCCTTAATCTGTGGCATTGGCAATCGTACACTTGGACAATAACTCTTCTATTTTGGTCAGAATGCAGGGACTGTAAAGCAGTCTCTATCTTTTACTATTCTTTGGGTATCCTTCTTTAATAATGTAAGTTAAAAATAAAGGGTAAATTTCCCAAATAGTGGTTGTATTAAAATAATAAAATAATACTTTACTATTATAATAAAACTTGGCTCATAACCTAATATCACAAACTATCTCTCACAATTTTTACGTGACAGCTTATTAATCAGACAGAAAAATTCATCTGAAACCAAATGTGAACTATCATATCAAAATTGTGAGAAAAAATTTATAAAATTAGATTATAAATGTAATATTATCATTTACTATTAAGTTATAACTTCTCATACTTTACATCACAAACGATCATTTTCTACTTAATTTCGTGGAAGTCACACATTTTAAGAAATTCACAACACATCTTGGTCAATCAGGTTTGTTACATTGAAAATATGAATCAACATAAACGACACCAATAAACACCATCAGACAATTATATCTCTTAGCAAATGCTTTCCTTGACATCTCCAATCAAAGATTTGATACCAAATATTACTTTATCTTTCAAGAGTTATGTCGTCCGCCTTGTTACATGGATGAACATTACATTCCAACATTGGTGAATATCCTTTACCCGAAATTGAATTCGAATCAAAGTATTCCTAGGGTAGATTGGTCGAGGGGCAGTACTCATCAGGGAAATTTTTGGTGGAATGACATTAAAGATGAATTTTTTTAATCAAATTAGGTATGGATAAAAATGTAGGTATAATGGTAATTCTACTTCAATGTGTATTTTGTTTGGAAGAAAGTTCATGCCTAACGCTTTGGAGGCTTTGTTGAGGGTTGGTCCCTTATTACTTGGTTTTAATCCTTAATATATGATTTTGTTGCACATTGTACTTATTCATTATTAAATTTGATGTCTTACCTGTTAATTAATATTGTATAAATTCATAATTTAATTAAAAATTTATTTTTCTTTATGTTAATTAGAGATGTCATTAGAATGAAGTATTGATTTATACATATTTGATAAGCATGCTATAATCAAAAGTCAAAAGGACCCATTACACGTCATATCACAACTCAATCTCACAAAATTTCTCTCAAAATTCATTAGAAGCCAATTGTGAGTTGTCACGTTGAGATTATAAGAGAAAATTTATGAGATTAAATTGTAAGTGTAATATCAAAGTGTGATATAATTGGAATAGGGCTCCTAGGTTCATTCATTTTTTGGGCTCTTTGGGCCTAAAGCGGGCTAACCCAATATCTATGGCCCAATTTGATTTGATTGACCCACTTAAATGTGGACTTTAATGAATTTAGGCTTTGTTGATTTTGCTCTCAACACTCTTCTCCCTCAAATACACTTGCATACAAATTCATTTATTTATTGAATGAGTTGTGGTTATATAAGATTCATAAATTTATAATAACAAAAGTAGCTTAGAAAAAAAAAAAAAAAAATAGGTGCACTCATAACATAATATAATGGTCAATGAAAATGTATAAAAAGTAGAAGAAAAAATGACATAAATTTCATTGTGTTAATAAACATATACATTTATTAATCAAATGGTATGCTTATTGATTAAAAAGTATAAACATGTGTTTGTTTATTGGTAAAACGTGTCTATTGGTGTCTTATTATTAATACAATTGAAATTTATGTCATTTTTAAAAAAAGTGTTTTCCAATTGATAATAACCCTTTACTTTTTCCTATTAATTTGGGCAATCAAAAGCATTTAATTTTGTCAGCTATTTAGTTAAACTAAGAAAGTTTGAGTTTGTTTTGATTCAACAAATAGAAGGGTTTGCAATTGTGGGGTTATTAGCCAAATGTTAAGAGCAATTTAGGTGGGGGAAAACTACAAATTGACTTTATTGAATGATTAGAATCTAAATTATATTCCTATTGTCCCAATATCCGATTTCCCTTAATCTATGGCATTGGCAATCATACACTTGGACAAAAACTTTTCTATTTTGGTCAGAATCTAGGGGCTGTAAACCAGTTTCTACCTTTTACTATTCTATGTGTATCATTCTTTAATATTATAAGTTAAAAATAAAGGGTAAATTTTCTAAATTGTGATTGTATTAAAATCAGTTACAATAAAGACTGTCTTACAATCTAATATCACAAACTCTCTTTCACAATCAAAATGCGATAGTTCGTAATTAGATAAAAAAATTCATCAGAAATCAATTATAAATTACCACATTAAGATTGCGATAAAAAATTTATGAGAATATATTGTAAACTTATTATTGCCTTAAACTATTAAATTATAACTTTACATCGAATTGTCATTTTCTGCTTAAATCTTGCTTGGAAGTCACCCATTTGAAGAAATTCACAGCACATCTTGGTCAGTCAGAAAATTATTATATTACATTGAATTCGAGTGAATGAAATTTTGATCCCTGGTTCGGAGAAAGTACCACTTTGGTCCAGTAAAATCTTAAAAGGTCATTATAATCCCTGTGTGTGAGTGTGTCAGACTAAGTAGTAAGAGAAAATTAAATGGTACAAAGGTCTGTCATTTTACACGTTTTAACAAGACAAATGAGGGTATAATAGACATTTCAATTTAAAAGCACTTAGACTATAACGACTTTTTAGATTTTACATGACGTAAGTAATTTCTGTAAGGTTGAGGGATGAAATGGAATTAATTCGGTTGAATCCACTATCAAGGGCACGTCACCAATGCCCCATAACTTTATATAGATTTCCATTTTGAGTAAACCACTTTTTCCCACCCAAGGTTTTCCTGAATGACACTTTCCAACTTAAAAAGTTTCAAAATCTCACTTTTTTCTCCCAAAGTTTATATTCCGTTAATATTTAAAATATATTTCATTTTTTCAGCTGACATTCAACGAGATACCAAGAGCTAAGATAAGAGGAATTTTGTTTAGTAGAGACCGACGGATCAAATGATAGTGATCGATTAAATATTTGTCATCGGAATTAACCAAAAACTAACTAAGAACATGAAATCCTAACTTTACGGTGGCTGATAATCGGTGAGAAATTAGGTGTTAGAGTAAGAGGGGTTTTGTAGAGAGGACACAGAAGGTTTAAATGACGATGAAGAAGAGAATATTCGCTATAAGAATCGGCTTTGAGAAGTAACAAAATATTAACTTTGGGTGGAAAAGTTATTTTTAAAACTTTTTGGGTGGAAAAATATTACGGCAAACCTTGGGTGGGAAAAAGTTGTTTACTCTTTTATTTTTCTTAATCTTAAGCTTTTTACCTTATTTTCAAAAGAATCCATTATTATTTGTCTTTTATAAAAAAAAAAAAAAAAATTTAGTCAAACTCAAACTTTCAATAAAAAAGATTGGAATATACATCTCCAAAATGAAATCCCAGATCATAAGCAGGAATCACGTGGTCCCTCATCATGAAATTAGAGGAATGCATGCATGATGTACAGCGCACCAACACGCTAGCACTACTGCAGTGGTTGCAGTTGTCTCTATCTATTTTTTTATTTATTTTTTTTCATGTTCAAGATAGAGACATAGACTTGTAATAAATAATTCAACACTAATATAATAAACCTATATGAGTGACATAATCTTTGAATTTTAAAAATTGTCAAGAATCTATATAAATCTTTTATGATATTGTTATTCTAATATAAATTGACTCAAGATTTGGTACTATACTAATAGAGTAACAACCACCATGCTTTTTTAATGTCTCATTTTTAATCATATATATATTTTTGAGTAAACCAACTTTTTCCTACCCACAGTGTGCCTTAATGACACTTTCTCACTTAAAAAAGTTTTAAAATGCTATTTTTTCATCCAAAATTAATATTTTGTTATTATCCAAAATCGATTCCAATCGATTCTAACTGTAAAAATTCTCTCCATCACCAGCTTTAAACTCGTGGTCTCTCTTCTACAAAATATCTCTCACTCTAACATTTGATTTCTCGTCGATTGCCTGCCATCGCAAAATTAGGGTTTTCCATTTTTAGCTGATTCTGATAACAAATATTTAATCGGTCATCACCATTTGAGCCACCGACCTTTACTCTATAAAACTCCTCTTACTCAAACCCTTGATAACTCACCGAATGCCGGCTCAGAAAGAGAAATATATTTTGAATATTAACAGAATATAAACTTTGGGTGAAAAAGTGGTATTTTGAAACTTTTAGGGGGCATTGATTAAGGCAAACCTTGGGTGGGAAAAAAAATCGTTTACTCTATATTTTTTTGTTACAAGTTTAATTATAAAAAAGAGGAAAATTTATTGAAAATAATAAAATAATAAAATGAAAAATAAAAAATTATTTTCTTATAATGGTTGACATACAACCACCGGTTAACCCTTTCAAAGATTTATGTAAATCTACAGAGGAGAACATAGTTGAAGCGTGTAACATGATCCCAATATCTGACACGTATACAGTCCCAACTCTCACTTCCTTAGACTTTGACTGACTTCACTTGTGGTCCCACTTATCGCGTATTCTCTGATGGCCTTCCATTAACAACTATACTGGTGTTCGCTAATAAGAATCTCTGAACCAAAACAAAACAAATACAAAAACAAAATTTCCTCCAACTCATTTCTGTCGCCTCTTTCTTCTCTCTCTCTAAATCTCCGGCTCTTTATTCTGACCCGCCGGAAAAAAAGTCATCAATGGGGGACGATTACTTGCAACTCTTTGTGGACGAGACCACTTTCTATAACCGCATTGTGTTGCGCTTCTTGTTGCCCTCTTCTTTGTGGGAACCGCTCCCGCATGTCCTTCAAACTTGGCTTCGTAACTACCTTGCTGGCTCTCTTCTTTACCTCATTTCCGGATTCTTGTGGTGCTTCTACATCTACTACTACAAACGCCACGTTTATGTCCCCAAAGGTATTTTTTTTTTTTTTTTTTTGTATTTCTATTTTGGCGGTGGGAGGTTTGGGATTGATATGAGATTTATATCTGTTTTATCGGTGTGGTTATTTTGAATCTGGGTTTCTTTCTTCTGATGAATTGATGATGGTCTTTCTGTAAAGTTTTTTTTTTTATTTCTTAATTTTGATTGTGTTTATTTGGATAATTATGTTTTGCATGAGGTTTAGTTTTGGATTTGGAAATGCATGTTTGAGACGAAATGGGTTGTTTTCAAAATGGTAAATTGATTTTCATTAGTTGATAGTTCAGTCAATAGATAGAACATTATGATGGATTGCCTTTTGCTAATTTTTGGCTCTGGATCTTTGTTCTAATTATAGTAAATTAGTGAAGTGAAGAAGCATATTTGAGTTCGATTCTGCTTCCACTTTTAGTAAATGGAGGCAATGCTACACCTATAATTTGTCAGTTTTTAATTCTGTGAAGTGTTTTCATGATACTATCAGATGGCTTTACGTGCTTGATTCCTGTGATCTGCATGGCCGTGATTGATTCCTGCCTTTCAATGAGACTGCTTGTCTTGGTACAGTAAAGGGATATGCTCCTAAGATATTGAGTCTAATGGTAGTTAGAATCATGTTAAACGTTTCATAAGGGTTATGAATAATTTAGAACTGTTTTTGGAGTTGAATGCGTGCCTATGAGGACATCAAGAGGTTAGCTTTTTCTTGATTTTCTTGTTCTGGAGTGTGTAAAACCTTTTACCTTCAGTGTCCTTGGTATTTTCTACTTTCATTACAAAATAATGCAATTTTCTGCACATTATGTGCAGGATCTGGTGGGAAATCGGAAGCAATTAATAATCAAACTTGATTGCAATATGATTTTAAAAGTCATGGCATAGCTGGAACTTGTCTTTGTTCCATGCTTAAAATGTTTACATAGCTGTTTGGTATTAACTGATAGCTTGAGGATGTCTGTCTACTTTAAAGTTACTTTCAACTGTTGCAGTTTTGTTGGAAGATTTTGTTCTGTAAAACGGCCATGATTCATCTTTTTTGGCGGAATGAATCATGCAATATTCTTGAAAATGTGGCTTGGGATTGTCTTTAATTGTATGCTGATATTTTGATGAAGAGTACAAGGGCCTAAGATGATGTCTTTGTTATTTTTGGACATTCTCATACAGATGCCATCCCTTCTAGAAAGGCCATGCTATTGCAAATATATGTTGCCATGAAAGCCATGCCTTGGTACTGTGCCCTTCCAACTCTTTCAGAGTACATGGTTGAAAATGGGTGGACTAAGTGTTTCTCTAGAGTAAGCGATGTTGGTTGGCTTGGCTACCTGGTGTATCTAGCCGTTTATCTTGTATTTGTGGAATTTGGGATTTATTGGATGCATAGAGAGTTGCATGACATAAAATTTTTGTACAAGCATCTTCATGCAACCCACCACATCTACAACAAGCAGAATACTCTTTCTCCATTTGCTGGTATGTTCTTAATCTCCTTTGATTTCGATGGTTAATTTTGTTTCTGCTTAAGTTCTAATGTGTATTGTTCTTTTTTTTTTTCAATTTTATTAATAGGTTCCCTGGTAAATGGAATATATAGTAAATTATAATTTTTATCTGTGCTGAGTTTTGGTTGAGGGTGACTTCTCAGGGAAAAGGACTAAATATATAGATTAGAAAAGATGATTCTTGAATTACAAATTGAGCCCACTTTTTAATTGCAATGAACAGAAGATATAGGAATACTCTAAAGAAAAGACATTATGCAGACAGGAATTATTTAGTGAGACAGGAATATGTTTGCTTCTATTGGTGATGAAACGCAGTTCCATCAACGTTTGGTGCACTTTTATTTGATTAGATGCATCTCCAAGGTTTACCTTGCAGTCTTGATTGTTAATCTCTTCTCTTCATGTCATGTCAAACATCCTATATCCCGTTGATACATGTTACTCTTATCTTCATGATCATCATCAAGTTTCATTTTCAGCCTGATGCAATGACTTTCAATGTGTTAATTAGTAGTGAAATTCTTAGTTGCTAACAGTTCTAGCCTTCGTGACCATTATTAATTCAATAGCTTTGAAATGGTTTTTGATACCCCATACAGTCATTAATTAATACCCTCCTTATAACAGTGCTCTGTTGCCTGACACTTGTGGACAGCTATGAAGTTTTATCTATTCTCATTTTTTATATGAAATGGATTTCTATCGACTATCAAGTAAACCAGTCATCTATCTCTTTACTATAAAGTCCTTGATCATCTCTGATAAGCTGATGTTGGTTGAAATTTTTTTGTATCCACATCTCGTTTGCTCTTTGATTGATCCAGAAATTTGTTGTTGGATCTGAAATTATCTTTCAATGGAGAGTTCAAAATAGAATTCGCATTTTATGCCTTTGCTAGGTAAGCTAGTCTCAACATAGATATACTTAAAGAACTCTAAGAATTATTTTCTGCAATAAGGGGTCTGAGTTGAGAACAGTGTGAATTTTAGTAAAAGAACGAGATGGTTAAAATACTGATTAGGCTACATATTAAATTTACTTAGTGGCAGTGAAAATTCTGATTTTAATCAATCTTGTTGAACCAAATCCTAATTTAGTTTTTGGATTCCTCTGTCTTCTTGAAAATTACATCCATGTTCCCACATGACTGTACATACTCACCCTGATAGGTAAGTCTTTATTTATTTATTATTTTAAACTTCATATGGACTGGTGTCTTATTTCCATTTAAACATGGGCTTGGTTTAAAGATATGTAGATATGGGATTGTCTACATTTGTATACTTTGGCCAACATTGAAGTCTTCTTCAAAGATGGGTTTTCGGTGCACTTATCTTTTTAGTCCAAAGACTGTATTTGGATTTTCTTATCTAGCTAATTGAACTCATGACAGAAAAGTATTTCTTTATTTCAGGTTTGGCATTTCACCCACTAGATGGTATACTGCAGGCAGTGCCACATGTTATAGCACTCTTCATAATACCAACCCATTTTACCACTCATATAGGGCTATTATTCCTTGAGGCTATATGGACTGCAAACATTCATGATTGCATCAACGGCAAGCTATGGCCTGTGATGGGTGCTGCCTACCACACCATTCACCACACCACATACCGTCATAATTATGGCCATTATACCATATGGATGGATTGGATGCTTGGAACCCTTCGCGATCCCATTGACGATGTTGGTGGGAAAATGATGTGATATGCATTTGCTAACCTTGAATCATCTTGGAAAATATCTGATGTTTATCTTTTGGTTAGACTTGCTGTTTGATTGGTTTTTGTTCTATGTATGTGATCTTTTGCATGTAAATCATGTTGATTGTATTGTTCTTTAGTGTCCATGACTACAAAGTTGGTGTTAGAGAAGAAATAAGCTTTTCCGGTGCCAAGGGGAGGCTTCTACCCCTCAATAAGCGTAAGCGTCACGACCCAGAGGCTCATTTTAAAAGTTCCACTGTACAATTTTTGGGTCATATTTTGAGTAAGTATATTTTTCTCCTAACTGGAATAAGTTAATCAGAAAAAAATATGCAGCAAAGATCTATCTAGATCTTTATTCTTTCTTGTTTCCTCTGTTGCTTCTGCTTGAGCTCACAATATTTTATTCGACTGTTGTATAGAAAGTTTCAATTAAAAATATTCATGCTAATGCTCTTCTGCACAATCTAGTTAACGACATTGCAAGATTGTTTCTAAATAAATGTATGATTCTTATAAACCAGTTTTCTTCTTTCACAGAAAGATTTTTAGTTATTGCAATATCTTGATATTTTTAGTTCACAGAATTCCGTTCACAAATGTCGAGTATGACTATGAGCAAACGACCGATGTAAAACTGTTAAAGTATACAGCATCTCTCTTTGAGTTGTGGAAATTCAATCTTACCATCACCACCCATGCCTTCCACTCTCTTTCTCTCCCTCCAAATTCGCTCTTATCCTGCAATTTCATCATCCTTAAACCCAAACCAAACCTCTCCCAAAACCTTCAAAATCAAAAACCCAAATGTCTCCCTCTCACACCCCAAGGTCCCAGTTAAAATGCCCACACCTCCATGGATAAGGTCCCATCCCCTTCACCAACCCCACCAAACCATCGATCCTTCACAGCCCAAAACGAACAAGAATGTTGAAAAAGCTGACAGGGCTTTGACAGGTAAAGTGAGCGGTGTTAGAGGCAACAAAGCCATGAAAAATATAGTAAGGAATGTTGAAAACCTTCAAAAAGATCAAATTTTGGATGAAGCCCGGAAAGATTTGGGGAAGTTCGAGTTCAGGGGACGTATTGAAAAGGTTGATAGTGAGGAGGAGGTGAAGGGTTTTGGCGGGAAATTGCCTGGGTTGAAGGACGAGAAGTTTGTGTTTAGGAGGATAAAGAAACTGAGGGTGGTGACTAAAGCTGAGATGTATCTTGACAAAGATTTGCTTGAGAGATTGAGAAATGAGGCCAAGAAGATGAGGAAGTGGGTGAAAGTGAAGAAAGCTGGGGTGACTGAGAGTGTTGTTTATGATATTAGGTTGCGTTGGAGAAACAGTGAGCTCGTTAAGGTGAAGTTTGATGTTCCTTTGTGTCGAAATATGGACAGAGCAAGAGAAATAGTTGAGGTTTGGCTTTGTTAACTTTGTCTTACTCTTGTGTTGCTAAATATATTTGATTTTTTTGATTGTTCATTTTATCTATGGGATGAACTGAAAAATTGTGTTAAATTTCATGTTGGTGTGATAGTATGTATATATAAAGAATGCACGGAGAGGACTAAAATTGAATATTAGATTTTTAGGAATTTGAGTTTAGCTTTATTTCGTGAAGGAATTAATTTCCAATGTGGGTCAAATTTTGATGTTTTGCTTGCTGTAGTAGTCAAAATTACACATTGACAATTTTAATCTTTATTTAACCAATCACTATTGTTAAGTTTGATCTGTACTATCTCTAAGAATGTTTTATATTTATGAGACTAGAGAATGCTGGTACCATTTTTCCCCCTTAAATTGTTTATCCTGTTATTCTTTTGTGATGCCAAATCCTGCATTTATTTTGCTGAATTCCATTTTAGGAATTCTGGAGAGGAATATATTTTTAATCAGACTCTGTTAAACTGTAGTGCCTAAAATTATTGGTGAGAAACAGGTTTAAATGCATTACCTTCAGAACTTGTAGCACGTTAAAGGTTTTTCTGATGCTATGTTCTTATATAACTGAGTGGGTTAAATTTTATTGCCAAATATTATTGGTGAGCAACAATTTTATAAGCATAACTTTATTTTATAGTGATTGTCTTTCTTAATTCTTTTCTTCTAAACAGTTTAAGACTGGAGGCTTGGTTATTTGGACTTGGAAAGATTTCCTTGTTATTTACAGAGGAGAGAATTATAAGTTGACTTCAAGATCTTCTCTGAAGATGAATCAATACTTTGCTGGTGGTCAAGAAACACCTTCGTCAAAAATAAGCCGCTTGAATTTAGGAAATAAAGTTAATGTTTCTAGAATAAACTCTAACACAATCACCGTGGATGAAAACATGTGTGGAAAAGCTGGAGAAGAGGACTCTATGCTGACTAGCATTTTTATGGAAGAAAATTCTAGAAGTCGATCAATAGATAGGTCACTGTATGAGAGGGAAGGTGATAGATTATTGGATGGCTTAGGGCCTCGCTTTATTGACTGGTGGATGTGGAAGCCATTGCCAGTAGATGCAGACTTGCTCCCAGAAGTGGTTCCTGGATTCAGGTCTCCGTTTAGGGTTTGTCCACCAGATGGTAGATCAAAGTTGACAGATGATGAACTGACGTACTTGAGGAAGCTAGCTCACCCTCTACCAACTCATTTTGTCCTCGGTATGCCTTGCCTACTGCAAACTTTTTATGATAGTGGTGGGCCTGTGATTCTGTGAGGCACATAATTTTACTTCACAAACTTTATTATTATGTTTGAGAGTTTGCATGATAGATAAAATTGGTTATGTGCAACGGATTGATGTGTGCATGCGCTTTTGTCCATTCAAGTTTCCTTGATTAATCCACTCTTATTTTCTGAAGGGAGGAACAGGAGACTTCAAGGCTTAGCTGCTGCTATCTTAAAATTGTGGGAGAAAAGCCTGATAGCAAAAATTGCAGTGAAGTGGGGAATTCCAAACACCGACAATGAGCAAATGGTGGATGAGCTTAAGGCAAGTTAGACAAGATGGAAATCTGTTTGGCTGTCAATTTGTGACATCCATGACCTGTTCGGATTTATCTTTTACAAATATCTTAAGGCAAAATTTGCCTATTGTTTAGTCAGCAGGCTAGCTTGCTAGGCATGCCATTACACATCATTAGGTGACATCAGGTTGATATTGGTCTCCTGTATTTTTGGACAAGGTAGCCCTGCTTCTTTTGTCTTCACACATAAGGCCTCTTGATTTAAGCACTACTGTTGCTGCTTCTTTCTTTGCTTGAAGCACCATAATATTACTGCAGTTCAAGTGGTTGCTATGATACTACTATTGTGATTAGACCACATTATCAACTTTATCAATTGCTTTGAGAATTGGAATTGAGATGCTTGTTTTGAGGAGTTGTGTGGTGCGGGCTGCCAGATCTCAAAGCCCAGCCATGCTTGTCTATGTGCCTTACATTTGCCACTATGCTTGTCTTGCTTTGCATGCTCATCATGCATGCCTATGTAATTAATTTCTACAGAAATTAACGTATTCTAAGAATGCTGTTTCACTAATGCGGTGTCTCACGGGAGGAGTTCTGTTGCTACGCAATAAATTCTATATAATACTGTATAGGGGCAAGGACTTTCTGCCTAGTAATGTTGGAAATTTGATAGTTGAGAGAGATGTGGAGCTCAAAAGATGCCAACTTCATGAAGAAGGTGCACGGCTTAAATCAATTGAAACTTTCTGTGTGCCTGATGAACCACTGGAAAGCTCTAGCAAAACTGGAACTTTATCAGAATTCCATGATATTCGCACTGAATTTAGAAATCTGGAAAAGGGTAACGGAGAGTCTGAACTTCAGTTTGAAGCTGAAAAAGTAAAATTGGAGAGGGAACTGAAAAAGCAAGAACGCAAGCTTTACATTGTAAGATTCAAGCTATCTTCTTATTCTATGATGTTCGTATCTGTGAAAATACTCATTATTGGTTTTGCAGCTTAACATCAAGATACAGCGGTCAGCAAAAGCGTTATCAAAGTTCAATTCTGTGTGGAAACCCAGTGAACAGGATCCAGACCAAGAATTGATTACAGAAGAGGAGAGAGAATGTCTCCGTAAGATGGGACTAAAGATGAATAGTTGCTTGCTGCTTGGTAAGGCAATATTGTCCCTCTATTTTGTGATGTCAGTATTTTTGTTTATATATTTTAACATCAACATGGAGCTGTTAGCCTTCGTTGGTTAGATATTTAAACCGCCAAGTGATCAGTTATCTGTAAATTTACATTTTGGTTTCAAAATTTGCTATCAAATGAATCATTTCTGTATGATTCTTGTTTAAATTTTGCTTTATAGAATTAGTTTCTGTGATTCAAGTCAGAATTTTTCTTAGTTTCTGTGATTCAAGTCAGAATTTTTCTTACACGTGCACACCCTAACATATGAACTCTGTTGCTTCTCTATGAGATTATATAGCTGGAATGAGTCACTAATTTGGCCCTCTATATGTGAATTACCTTGTATACTCGTTGGGTTACTTTTCTTGATCAGTAAACTCATTTGTAGATGAATGCTAACTTTGCGCCCATGTTCTTTACTCGATCTATTAGATTGACCATGCTTTATGTTAGTTTCTGTTTGCAGTTTGAAATTATCATCAAAATCTCGTCATTCGTTGCTGAAATATAGTGAATATGAAAATGCATGGATCTATCTATTTGTAATATTGTCTTAAGTTTGCAATGCATGTCTGGGGCTTTTTGGGATGCTGCATCGACAACAAAGTCATTTCATTTCTCCCTGGACTGACTTCTACCTATTGATACTTGATTATACTCTTTGCCTCACAAATATTATATCTCCGATCTTTTATTTAGAGTCTGTTTTCCATTGGCTTTCTTTGATGTAGGATTTACCATATACTTGGGAAGCATTTTGTAGTTCCAATTATCATGGTAGATGCTTTTATTAAATGGTCTCTATATACTTCTTTTGGTAGTTATGACAAAACTTCCACTTTGCACTGTCATTTTATAACCTTTTACATGTATCATTGTTTCAATCTTATTTTGGCTAATGGATCAAGTATCCATGCTAGTGGACCCATGTTAAGAAATCATCTCAGACTCCAGCTTCAATGGCGGTTCTATAAATAATTTTTAGGTGCCTCATAGTTGATGCTGATGTGATAAGTAACACATAGGCTTCATACTTTGGTCTTTAAATCTATCAAATGATTAATTGAGTTAACTGAGTGCCTCATATAGGAAACAAACATATTCTTGCTGGAAATGCCAATTTCATTGTGAAAGCAGTCCTAATTGCTACTATGCACTGTGCTTCTCCATTGTCTGGCTCTCACTGGTCATATCTATTGGTTTAATTTTGTCTTCAGGCAGACGTGGGGTCTTTGGTGGGGTCATGGAAGGCCTGCATCAGCACTGGAAACACAGAGAAGTTGTGAAGGTGATTACCATGCAGAAATTGTTTGGTCAAGTTATTTATACTGCGAAATCACTGGTTGCAGAAAGTGGTGGAATTCTTGTTTCAGTGGACAAGATAAAAGAAGGCCATGCTGTCATTATCTACCGAGGAAAAAACTATAGACGTCCTTTAAAGTTAAGGACTGACAACCTTCTAACTAAACGAAAAGCATTACTTAGATCTCTTGAAATGCAGAGACTTGGAGTAAGTATTCTCAAAACTTTAATTTCTTGTATTATTGGAATTCATCTACCAGTTTACCTGTCATCATTAATAGACTTGAGTCTGATACACTTCTCATCCTACTTTCTCTTTGTTCTTTTTATCCTCCGATGGGGTGTGGTGCTTTGTTTTTCTAGTCGCTGAAGTTTTTTGCATATCAGAGACAGCGGGTAATCACAGATTTGAAAGTAAAATTGGTAAGGCTTCAAACTTTTGTTCGCATAAAAAATGCCTGAATCTTGCTTCTTTTGAACTAGCTTCTGATGAGATTGGTGTAAAACTCATGAATCAATACCATCTGTGTTTTCTACTGACTATTTCAAATTGATATATCACAATTTTACTCCTAACATGCCACATTTGATTCAGGAACTGTGGCAAAGGTGAACACCTCCATTGAGTTTTTTTATTTATTCTTTAGCTGATGAATTTTGCAGGCAGAGCTGCAAGAAAACAGGGAAAAGAATCTGAAATTTATTTAGCTAATGGATGTACCATGCGCTAGAACCTCTTGAATTGTCAACTCGTATGAGAAAGGATGTTGATGTGCCATGTAAGGAAAGTTTCTTGGCTGTCAGTTGCCATGGTGCATTACTAACTGGTAAACTTTCTTGTTTTTAAATTTGTTTAAAGATGTCAGTCTTTGCATGATATTCTTCCTCTAGCATCTGACTCTAGTTTGCATGCATGCAGGCATGGCCTGAATAATTGTATTTGAGATGTTGGAGTATGCTTGAAGTATTAGCAACCTTTCCTGTGCATTACCTTTTGGACTTGGCTTTTGGTTTTATTTCAAGAGACAAGGTATCCCACTTTGTATATCTTAAATGGAAATAGAAAGTCTGATTGTTATGTCGCGGCCTCATGTCTCAGCACTCAGCCTTATGAATGTAGGAAACACTTCGTTCTTGGTGATCTGGTGACAATGTCCTGCATTGAGTGCAGGATTTGTTAAAAAGTTGACGTGAGGGACTCTCTGAGTGTAAGCAAAATTATGTAAAGTCAAGCTTCAAATACGCCAATGTTTTCCTAGACAGCATTATGCATCAACTAACTTAGGCTATGTGAGCCTTTTCTTATACACACAGCACTCAACCTCAACCATCTTTTTCCTTTTTGTTAAGTAGCTTAAATCTTGATGTATCAGATTCAACCAGGACAATGTGTTCTAGACAGCATTATGCATCAACTAACTCATGCTATGTGAGCCTTTTCTTATACACACAGCAGCCAACCTCAACCATCTTATTCCTTTTTAATAAGTAGCTGAAATCTTGATGTATCAGATTCAACCAGGGCAAGTTTAGCCTTAGACCATGGCAAAGTTTGACGTCTATTTTGTGTAATTTACTCTTTCCGAGCACACATTTGCATCTTCAAATTTTGGTCGTACAGTGCTTAGTCTTAAGTGCATCTTTTTTTGCCCTGCAAATGGACTTTTGTCCTAGAGTGCAAATTTGTATAGTTGGAAGATAATTTGCCAAACCCAGACCGAGTTTTTGTGTTCCAATTTAGCAACTCAGTATATCTATTTCTTATTTCTCTGTCCAACTCCAATTTTTTCTAGATTGGTTGAGAGTAAAACCTTGGGATAACGTACTGCGACAGATCTATGATTGAGAGTAAAATAGATCAGATGGTTCCTTGAAATTGAAAATGGTGAGTGAAAGAAGAAATTGATTTTGGCATTTAACGAGGCTGATTTGCATATAGAGCTTAAGAATCAGGTTAACGGATGTGGTTGGCACCACCGTGGTGCCATTATATCTAAGCATTTATGTGAAACTGACAAGCATGATTCATGATTATTTATCTCTTCTAGTTTGCCGATTCAAGGCTGAGGTCCCAAAAGGAAAAAGGAAGCCATCACTCGATGTACATATGAATGTGGTTCTTTGAGCTAGTATTTCATGAGATTGGTTTAAATTTGTGTGTGTAGATCTTCTTGTAATATTTGTTCATTCCTTCACTAAATTACATTCAGAATTCATTACAGACTGCTATGAACATTGCTTTTTGTTTGGTCTACATTTGCTATGAACAAAAATTAATAGAGCACTTAAATCGTCCCAGCCATCTGCCCTCATTTTATTCTCCCCAGGTTGTCATATTTGGAACTGCAAGCAAATACTAAAATTTTAATCTTAGTTAAGGATTGAAGCTTTTGCGTTCTTAAGATTGAATGGTCATGTAAAATTGTACCCTTCAGGTAAATGTTCAGTATCCACTGCATCCGTACATTGACTACGTAAAAGAAAAAAAATCTGGCGTTACGAATAAAAGAAAACTAATGTCCTGGTCCTTGAGCACAAATCAAGGCAAATCTAAATTTTGCTAAATTTTATTACAGTTTACATATCACCCAGATCTTTGAACGGTTCTTCCTCTGATGCAAGTTGTGTTGATGAAGATGCCGGGAAAGAATGTTTAAAGGATCCTGGTGGAGAAGACCAATAAGGTTTTGGTGGAACTTGCAAGTTTTCTGGCCTACCTTCCAACATCTCGACAACTTTCTTGATTGATGGTCTATCAGATGGATTGGTTTGAATGCACCACAAGCTCACTAATATCATCTTTTTCGCCGTCTCTTTTTCCCCTTCAGTGACAACACCTGGAAGTTTAAAATCATTGCTCGGTTCAAGAAGGTTATAAATAGCATCTGGAAAATATACTTCACTTGTCTGAGATATCCCAACATTAATGTTCTTTCTTGCTCCAACTATTTCTAGAATCATCATTCCGTAACTATAGACATCAGACTTGTGAGAGACTCCTCCAAAGTTTCTACAAATCACTTCTGGTGCAATATATCCTACAGTTCCTCTTGCGTTCAACATTGATATGATACTCTCCTTCTGGTTGGATTGTTTCGCAAGCCCAAAGTCAGATATTTTTGGGTAAAAGTCTTTGTCTAAAAGAATGTTGTGAGGTTTTATGTCAAAATGTACGATTCTTGTGTTACAACCTCTGTGTAAATATTCTAGTCCTCTAGCAATGCCAACTGCGATTTGATAAAGTGTGTTCCACTCCAAATTGCAATTTGTACTCAAAGATTCTTGAGTATATATGAACTTATCCAAAGATCCGTTGCACATAAATTCATAGATTAGAGCTCTTTTATTCCTCTCACAGCAGTAACCTAGAAGACTGACTATATTGACATGGGATGTTCTACTCATGCTAGCCACTTCATTGATGAATTCCTCTCCATTGCCCTTAGATTCCTTCAAGATCTTCACTGCCACAAGACGACCGTCAGGTAGTTTTCCTTTGTAAACATCACCATAGCCTCCTCGGCCAAGTTTTTCGCTGAATGATTTTGTAACGTTTCTAATATCAGAATAATTATATCTTTGTGGAGCATGCGATCCGCAATTTCTAATAAACGCCTCCATTCTTTGATCATCCTCTGTTTTCTTCTTCCAGAATCGTCCCAGGCCAACCATTGAGATGACAATTATAATCCCCACAACACTAGCTGTAATTCCTGTAACAAAAAAAAAAAAATAATAAATAAATAAATAAAGGGGGCAAGACAATTATGAGATTAAAAACGTATATATCTGAATTACTCTTAGCAATCATCGATAATAGCAGTAGTAACTGTTGACTCATGGTAGGTATTCAGTGGAAAAAGTAAACCAAGTTGTCTGATCAACATATTACCTATGGCAATCTTCCTTGGTTTATTGAAGACTGATTTATTATGGTCATTTGAAGATACTCCTGCAGCATAACCAAATTACAAGAAGACTTTGTGTTGAGTAGCAACTGAGAAATACTAAAAAAAATAAAATAAAAATCTAAAATATAAAGTCTAAAACAGCTAGAATAGTAACTTTGAGTAAAATTTATATGAAAATGATTAAATAAATAAAAATTAAACGGATTGACTCAGCGCCAGCGGCATATAGATCTTTAATTTCTGCCCACAAATTGAGGTACGTACCCGGACCTGGAGACTCAATGCATTTCTCACATTCCACGCCACTTATACTCCATTTGATCTCAAATCCGTCTTGTAGGGCTCGTTTCAAAACCGATTTATTCTCTTTTCCTTGTAGAACTAACGATTTAGGAAAAGGAACAATGACGCCAACAGCACATGCCCCAGCACCATTAGCTCCCTCTTCTATATAGCCATCCTTCTTGGCGGCACCAGGAAAAGAGCAAGTGAAATGTCCAGAAAGAGAAGCAGATAACGGGCAAGCGTAAAGTATGGTACGTATCTCATACTCATTAGTATAGTTGAACATGGGAGAGAGGGTGGTGTTACCAAATCGACGTGGACAGATTCCATCGAAGTAATCTTCTCTTGCAATCCTGAGACTATGGGCTTTGTCATCCACATTCAAAACAAGGTAGGACAAGTCATTCATCTTCATCATAGGCATATCATTCTCACAATAGAGTTGCAGGTCAGGATGGCCACAAGCACTCGGTCGGTCACCTCCCCAGAATGGATAACCGACTGTAAGATTCCCACATCTGAAGGGAAGATTACAAACTCGGTACTCTTGAGAGGAGCCTAGCTGAATCTTAACAGGAACCATAAGTACGAAACATACCAGAGAAAGAAGAGGCGACCACAGCAAACGCTGGAAACTCATTATGTCGATGGCAAATATGAAGAATGGTTGAACCACGTTTAATTGGGCTGTTTTAGCCAGAAATACGTAAGATTGAGGGAAAGAGTTAACAGGATGACTTTGAAATTTTGTATTTGGTAATTTAGTTGACTTGAAAGTCACCGGTGCAGCTATGAAAATCATACGGAATTCACAATGGCAAGGGCCCCCACACTTTCACTGTTTTAAACATAGGGATATTACTAATTTAGTTATAGTTAATATTATACTTACAATCAAAACCTACAAATTTTTTCTCACGGTCTTAACGTGAGAGTTTATAATTAATTTTTGATGAATTTTTATCTTTAACGAATTATAAGTTATTACATCAGAATTATGAGAAAGAGTTTGTGAGATTAAGTTATAAGTTAATCTTTATTATTTAATTATAATCTTATTATGAAATGTTAACAAATAAGGCACAAGTTTCAATGTCTTCAATTTAGGGACATTTAACTTTGATGTGCTGTTAAACTTTAACAGAAAATAACAAAAAGACTTAAATATCCTTAGTTATTTATTTGGTTTTAACCTGAGTTTCAAATTTAAAAACTTAAAAAAATATATAAAAGATTGAAATTAAATTTAAAAATTAAGAAAATTTGTTTGATTTCAGTTTATATACTAAAAATTATAATAAAATAAGAACAAAAAACAATAAAATAATTTAAATAAAAAATAGAAAACCTGTTTTTTTTTTTTTTTTTAAATTACATACCAAAACAAGAGAAAGGACAGCCATTTTTATGTTTAAATTTATAAAAATTAAAAAATTAAAAACATTGAAATCAAAATAAATAAAAAGAGCAAAGGCAAAGGCTTTTCCTCAGGCTGGTTGCTCCGCTGGCCTGAGGAAAAGCCTCCTTTATTCTTTTTCTTAATTTTGTTTTTTATTTTTTTTAAATATTGATTTTATTAATTCTTTAATTAGGATTTTTTTAACAAATTTTGTAGAACATGTGTCAGCATTTTACTGGATAAGATTATTTAATTGAGTCTAATTTACTTCTTTATATATATTTAATTGAGTCTATATATATATATAATCAGGCTTAACCCCTTGCCTGCCTAGGGCCCCGAAAAAAGGGTGTTAAAAAGGAGGCCCAAAATTATATTTTAAAGTACTTTTTAATATATTTATAATTTTTTCAATTTTAATCCATCCCACCATTTACTCGCCTATGCTACCTCTACCCAAAATGATTCTTTTAAGAGTTTTTAAATATATTTATGATTTCCCAATTCCCATCAATTCCCCCATCCGTCCAATCAGCCATGCCTATCTCTTAAATTTAAAACACAAATGGCAGCTCACTTTTGTGTTGCAAATTGAAACACTTTCACGCAACTGTCCAACTCTCAAATGTTAAATCACATCTCCTCTCTCCCCCAAATTGGAATCACCATCTCTTAGATAAAGCTCATTTCATTCAAGGTTTTCTCATTTTTACTCTTATTATTCTACCTCAGTTTACTCTCGTCTCTCCTTTCTCATCTATTTTACTCTCTTGTTTCTCCTTTCTCATCTTTATTACGTGAATTTATGAAGCGAATGTGATTTATATTATTATTTTTATGCAAGGTAATATTAAGAGTTTTAAATCATTTTACTCTTAGCATTGTTAACTGATTTTACTTTATATTTGATCAAGTGATTTACATTATTATTTTTATGCAGGGTAATAATATAAGATTTTTGAGTATTAGCACAGCAAAAAGCAAAATCAGGAGCATAAATTAGGTGCTAAAATTCCTTTTTAATTTTTATAATTATTTTTATTTTAGCAAAATAATATTAAGAGCTCTAAATTATTTATTCTTTGAATATAGATGTCTACTAGGAAGTGTGAAATCTGATTTTTGAAAAACGTAAGAAAAAAAAAAAAAAAAAAGAATAGAAGAACTAATTCATCCCAAAAAGGTGCACTTGATAAATTTTATTATAACAAAACACCAAATGCTAGAAAAACAAATGAAGATTTAAATGAAAAATCAATTGAAAATTGTGAAGAAATTTTTAAAGATAACAATTCAATTCATCAAATACTAGTGAAGAGTCTCATGAAAATTTAGAAGAAGAAATTCCATTCGACAAAAATGAAAATATTAATGACGAAGATGAAACAACTATTAAAAATATTTATGACCCGGTACACTGATAATTTAGACACAAATTTATGTGATTTATTAGTTGAAAAAGGTCCAATTAGACAAGTTTTAGATTTTTCAAGAGATGAAAATCTAGACGCTTTTCTACAATTCATTACATTCGAAAATTACCAAATGAGAAAAACATGATAGAAAATGACTAGTGTATTCAAAAGAATAACTAAAGTATTTTGTTTTTGTTGTAAATTATTTAGTTTAAAAGCAAATACAATTCAATTAGCAACTGAAGGGTGTGGAGATTGGAAAAACTTAGTGCCAGCTTAAAACTCACAAAATAAGCAATGACATGCTATAAATATGAACATTTGGTGTTGATGTTGAGATAGATTGCCTAAAAACAAAACTTGATAAATATTTACAAGAGAAAATAAATAAAGAGAAAGAGCATGGAAGAATGTACTATTAACTATTAAGCGGTCGTAAAAAATCTTTCAAAAAGTAATTTGCATTTCGTGGTACAAATGAGAAGATTTATCAAGAAAATAATGGAAATTTTTTTAGTTTAATTGAAATGATTGCTGAGTTTGATCCAATAATACAAGAACACCTTAGACGTATTCAAATGGAGAAATTCATACTCATCATCTTGGTCATAATATACAAAATGAGTTGATGAATATTTTAGCATTAGAAATGAGAAATACCATTATTAAAAAAATCAAAGAATCAAAATATTTTTCAGTTATCTTGATTGTACCCCAAATACAAGCCATCAGAACAAATGTCACTTTATTAAGATATTAGATATTTTAATAAGTTCAATAAAAATAGAAGATTACTTTATGATTTTATAAAAGTGGATGATACTTCTGATCAAGCCATTTTAATGTTCTCACAAGTATATTAAAAATCTTGAACTTGATGTAAATAATGTGAGAGGACAAGGATATGATAAGGGTCTAATATGAAAGGTAAACATCAAGGTGTGCAAAAAAGATTATTAGATATAATTCTAGAGCATTTATATATCATGTGATTGCATAGTCTTAATTTAGTTCTTTGTTATGGCTAATTCATGTGCTAATCTATTACATTTTTTGGAGTGACACAACGTATATCTCATTATTTTCTTCTTCTCACAAAACGATGGAAAATTTTACAAGATCATGTTTTTTAATTTGACACTTAAGCCATTATCACAAACCGTTGGAAAGTCGTTTTGAAAGTATTAAAGCAATAAAATTTCAAGCTCCACAATAAGAGATGTTTTATATCAATTAGCAAGAACTAGTGAAGATCCTAAACAAAAAGTGAAGCTTTTCTTTCGTAACGTGTGATTGAAAATTTTGAATTTCTATTAGGCATGAATGTTTGGTATGAATGTTATTTGCTATTAATATGGTTATAAATATTTACAATCTAAAAATATGGACATGTTGTTGCAACAGATCAGTTGAAATGTCTTGTTTCATTTTTAAAAAATATAGAGAAATGGGTTTACATCTTCTAGGATTTCTACTAAAGATTGCAGACAATTGAATATAGAACCAAAATTTCATGAAAAACGTATAATAAAGAGAAAAAAACAATTTGATGAGAATGAAAACGAAGATATGAAATTGTCTGCTGAAGAATCTTTTAGAATAAATTATTTCACATATTAGTTGATCATGCCATTTCCTCACTCAAAGTAGGTTTGAACAATTTGAAATATATAGCAATAATTTTGGTTTTATTTATATATAGAAAAGTTAAAATTGCTTGATGATGATGTTTGCAGAAACATTGTTTAAATCTTGAAAACTTTTTAAAACATGACATGCTCTCTGATATTGATGGTTTAGATTTATATTCAGAATTCAAAGTTTTAAAAGAAATTATAAACGTGGAAATTAAACACACTTGAAATACTAGATTTTATAAAAAAAGTAATTTTTTTTCCAACCCATGCATGGATAGCTTATAGAATACTGTTAACTATTCCTGTTACTGTAGTTTTAGCAGAAAGAAGTTTTTCAAAATTAAAGTTAATAAAATCTTATTTGCGTTCAACTATGTCACAAGAAAGATTAGGTAATTTAGCTATATTATCAATTGAAAAAGATTTGGTTTCTAAACTTGAATATAAAAATTTAATTAGTGATTTTGCATCTCAAAAGGCAAGAAAAATAAATTTGAAATAATTTTTTAATATATACTTATATTATTAGAAGGCCCCTAAAGCAACTCTTGCCAAGGGTCATAAATGTTCTCGAGACGGCCCTGTATATAATGCATAATTAATTATCGATTTATCCGTTGTATCCTATTAATTGTAACTGCAAGTTACCATTTAATGTCTCTACATTGAAGAAAATGAAACTTGTGTCCCTTTTGCATTTCACAAAAAAGCTATACCTTGGTTGATAATTTCCCTTAAATATATGCATTTTTATTTAGTATTAACATGTAAACGATAAATTTATATAATTAGCTATAATGTGATATTAGTTTACAAAATTTTTGGAATATGTATAGTATTACTCATTTGAAATTAATAGGTGTAATTGATGAAAAATACTTAGAAAAGAAAAATAGTTAGTAAATGTTAGTAGTTAGTACATATGAAAATATAATTAAGAAAATATTAATTTAATTTTAATATAACTATTTTATTCATATAATTATCTGGAGAACTAGTAAAAGTCTAGACAAAAATTCTCATGCCTCTCTCATGATCTTCCATGAGTGATTAGTCTATTTCATCAAGGTCCTACTAGTAGATATCTTAGTAACAATAATACTATATTTACAAAAAAATCTTATAAACATTTTCATACAAAATGAGGTGGCAAAAAATGAATGGAAAAATGAAACAAAAAGTCAAACTCATTATAATCCCTCTGTATGAGAATCTTTGTAAGTGTATCATTACTCTTTTAGT